ACCATTTAACAGCCCCCCCATATTTCCGCTTTCACTTTTTTAACATCACCTTTTGCCGATGTCAGGACATTCCCAAGTTGGGTCTTTCATTTGGACACACTATCAGACATGGCTGGTTGGGGTGGATCTGAAAAGCACAACCCTTTAGAGCTTCTTGAGTGACCTGCGAAATGTGTTGGTTTGCAACACATTCGCCCATGATACAGACGCCTTTCTGAGGGAACACCCAGATGTTTGGCGACTGTTTTTATTTTCCAAACCCGACCCGCGGAAGGCAACGTATTTCTTGCTCGTTCGGGGGCAAGCTGCTTTAGATAGCACCCAAACGATCCCTAAGAGGGTTGGGCCCATTTGCCAAAGGTGATTCAGAGCCATGGCGAGGGAACTGGCTCGTAATGGTTGCTGCAATAGTCACAGGGTCACTCAAGTCACCAAGCTGCAATGGCTCCCCTTGCGCGAGGCTCTGAATCAGATGACATTTTGGGGGAGACCAAGGACAAGATGGGTCCACACCCAAAGCAACCATGTATCATTTGGGCCTCCCGATTCCCTTGAGGCATTTACTCCCTGCAAATTTTCACGCGGAACCCTGGTTGAACTCCGGCAAGTGATTTGTTCCGATCTTGTTCCCCTCCCCACCCACAAACCAAAGGCAAAGTGCAACTACTTCACTTATCTGAAGTACCCTTGTAGAATCCTGCCTTCCCCCCCAAACTTCGGGGGGAAATCCTGCCACATCCTTCCGACCTGGGCGACCTTGAACGAGTTCTGTCAAAAGCGTTCCGGGATGCCACACACCTCTGTTGCAAGTGATCGGCCCCCGTTTGTTGGGTCCCATTCTGATGCGAATGGCCCCTCCCCGCCCTGCCATGATTCACAATGATCCAAGGTTGGCATTTGGCCGTGGCTCAAAAGCTGTACCATAGTGGCACTTTGAAAATAGAACCAAAGACCAAAATCTGCGCAACCTTGGCTCTTTCCTTTTGAGCCACACCCATTTTTTTGAGACCCCACAAAAGGGCTGGAATCGACCTAGGAAGACTGCTTTGCTCGGCTTCCCTCCAAAAAGCTGCAGGGCCCCCAAGAAGTCCCCCGACTTCGGGGCCTCGCTCGGCTCGCTGAGTCTTCGAGTCTTCGGGGCCGACCGGTCGGCTCGGTCTGCGCTAGGCGCGGAAGATCCTGGGGGTGGTGGCACCCACGCAGCCCAGGAACTACGTGGCCCGGAGCCCTTGGGGCGAGATGTCGTGCGATCGAGGGCTCTGGGCCCCCAGAGATGCCGGCGGGTTGCTTCGCCTATTTTTTTGAGGTCCCCCCCCCACCACAAAAGAAGAAGCTGCGTTTTTAATAAGGGAAGAACCAAAGGGGGGATGCATCTTCATTTTTTGGGGTCCAAGTTCCTAGTTTGACACACACCAAACAACAACCTCCAGGCAGATACCATGCCAATCTGGGTTTGTCTCAACATCGGGAACCCTCAAGAAATTGGTTGGTTTCCTTGCGGTTTCCGTCTAGAACCACCCCTCAAGGGGTACCCGAGTGCAAAAAAGAGATTCGGCGAGCCATCCAGTTATGGGCCCAAATGCCTCAGCCTGTCCTTGGCTGGTCTTTGGTGTCAAAACCCCTTGACATGTAAGAATGAGAATGGGCTCTGGGGTACTGGAAACACAAATGGGAATGGGTCAAAATCAAGTCACCAGGAAACCGCAGGTTTTGGCCAGGGCAACCCATTTTGGGGTTATGTTTGACCCATTGCCAAATGGGCTTCCAGTTTACCGCTAAATGGCTAAATATGTGGTGTGCGTGTGTGTGTGTGCGAGAGTTTTTTTGGGGTACCCCTGTTTTGTCGTTTTAAAGGGAAACCAAGAGGAGAACCGAAGCCATTTTGTGGGGGAGGACCCCCCCAAAAAAAATGACCAGCATGTGTTTTCTCCCGGTACCCCACCCCAGTTTATGGTTTATTGAACGGCCCCTTGTAGTTGGGCGAATTTTTCATTTTTCTTGCATGCAGAACTTGAGGGCTGCTTTAGAGGGTTTTACTAGTGCAGCCTGTTGCTTCAAGGGTGACTCAACCAATGCAGACCCAAGAGGGATTGAAACCCCAGCGACCAGGGTCTCACAAAACACCTTTTGGTGGTCGAGACAGACTGGGGGGGCAGCTTTTAGGTAGGGTTTCGCAGGGTTCCCGGAAAAAACCGGGGCAGTTGGGGAGACCACCTGGGCTTATTTGAGGGTTAGTACTCCCCTTTTTGGAAAAACAAGACGAGCCACATGTTGAGGGAACTTTGGAAGAGCTGGCCAGTAGGAACAACCTGTCCAGAGTGGTTTTGCAGCCTGTTGGCAATCTGGCATTTGGGTGTGCCGCTTTTTTGGGGTAGTGTCTTCGAGGGGTAGGCTTAAAGGGAAGTCAAAATTTGTTGGGGTCCCCTGTATTTGACACATACCATTTGTTGATAAAACCATGGCCTTTGGTAGGGCAATAGCAGGCATTTTGTTCAAAACCATGCTTTTCGTAGGGCAGCCTGAAGTTAGCAGGCAGCCTAAATCATTTGTTGGACCCGGGCGGTCGGTGGGGGATCCCCCGAGACCAAGAGAGGTCTTGGGCGATAGCTCTTGCAGTTTCTGATGCGGTTCCGGGTATGGAGTCTCCGGGTGTTCGCTCGATTCCCGCTTTTGACCATTGGTTTTCTCGAGGAGCAGGCCCCAAAAGTTGAGCCAGATGCCGGGGAACCGCACATGGTGCTTCAAGTTCTCAGCTTCGCTTGGTATTGTGAACTATGCCACCATTCCTGCGCGAGATGGGGAAAACGGACAACAAAGGTATGCTCCAGTTGCAAAGCTGCAGTTGCCTAGCGGAATCCAGGCTTGCTTTCCTCTTGTGTTGTATTGTACGGTTGCTCCAACACCAAGCCACTGGGTAGAAAAATGGTCTTGGGTCCTTTGGTTTCCCTTCACCACATACCCTTGTGCCAATCGAGTTAAAATAGGAGCCACCCTGTTTCAAAAGCGCGAAGGCCTTACTGCGTTTTGTAGGCTTTTCAGAGAAACCATGAGTTTTCCTGGGTCAAAAGCCCTTGACTTCAGTTCAGGTCATGGAAATCAAGTCGAACCTGCTGAAGGACGAGAGGCTCTTTGCTGCGGGCTGGGGCTCGGTCAAAACTACTCGGACAGGGGCTCCAAGAGGAAAAAGGGAAGCAACAAGTCCAACAAGTTTGGAGACACACACACACACACACACACACGCAAGCAACAAAGACACATACAGAAAACAACCAACTTGACAAAAGCAAACATAGACTTGCTGGTGCTCAGTTGGGAGTTACCCAGGATTTGGGAATGAATCTTGGGATGCTTCTTTAAGGAAACCATTGGGGATGGCAAGGGGTCAGTCCCTCATTCCCTGAGAACCAGCACGTAGAAACAAGCAAGCACCGCAAGAAATACACAACTGAACATTCTCGTACTGCCATGGCTGTTCTACATCACTGGGGAGTAGCAATCAGTTGGTGCCTGGCCCCGGCCCGGCCATTTCGGGAGGAAATCGCGAGTGCGCCAACCGTACCGATTGGCTGGGCAACTGATTCTTACTCACTATGTGGATTCCTCCAAGGTGAATACACTCCCGCATGGGTCTGCCTCAAAATAGGGGGATCCCCCAGAATTGGTGGTGTCCTTTCAGTTTCCCTTTAAACCACCCCTAAAAGGGTACCAACTCACATAAAATGCAACGGGTAATGGGTAGGGGTCTGGGCTAGCAAGGACCCCCTTTGGTCTCCTAGGAGCTTCTGTGTTTGGCTGAGGGTAACTTCACGGTTCTTAGTTGTTTTTGGCTTGGGTTCTGTTCATCTTTCGCGGGCGGCGGCCAAAAAACCATGCCAGGTAGGGCAAGCGTAATATGGACCCTTCGGACATCACCAACTACTTGTTGGGGGGGTTGCCTTTTGAGATTCATGGAACATGGCCAACTTATGAGCTCTCGGCATAAAATCTCACGGTTAAGTTTTTGACATGACAGTCCATGAGAGAAAATTGCCCGGTAGTGTGACCGCCCATTTTGCAGGCACGGAGGGAGGGTAGCATGAGACATTCCCTGGACTTCTTCAAATGAGCCACAAATTCTTTAAATTATATTGGGTAGACCGGTAGGCCCCTTCGGTTGCCAGCTGTTGATTATGGCTCACATTAGTCAACATGGCGGATTGTTTTCCCCCCAAAAGTGAAGGATCGATATCATTGTGAGCAGCGAAACAAATTCCCAGTGGCCGCTTTAGGAGGGTGGTTCTAAACATCATGCCTAGCTGCTGTTCCGAAAAGGGTGGTTCTACTGCCTGACTTGTTGGGGTTTGAGTTCGCGCCGGACTGGAACTGACCAGCATGTTTGTTGTTTATCATTTCAGTTGGCAGGCATGTGTGCAATTCGTGCGCTCTTGAGCGGGCGTGTCTATCATTTTGAACGCATGTGCGCGGTGCTTTGCTCTTGTGCGAGTGGCTTTGTCATTCGGCAGACACACGTGCAGTGCTGAGCGTGTGCGTTTAACATTAGGCAGGAACGTGTGCAGTGCAAAGTTTGCGCTCTTGACCGCGTGCGCTTAGCATTTGGCAGGCATGTATGCCATGCCTCAGCGCGTGCTCTTGAGAGAGTGCGCTTGCATGCGTTTTGTGCTGAGCGCGTGCTCAGCGAGTGTGCTGATCATTATGCAGGCATGTGTGTAGTGCTGAGTAGGTGCTCTAAGTGTGCCAGGCGCTGAGCGTGTGCTCTTGAGCGGGGTGTGCTGTGTCTTTATCATCATTTGGCAGCCATGCGTGCGGTGCTGGCACGTGTTCTCTTGATTAAGCGGGCGCGGTGTGCTTACTTGGCAGGCTTATAATTTCGAAGGAATTTGTGCAGTGCTGAGCGTGTGCCCAGAAAGCAGAACCACAGCTATTTTTGGTTTTGGTTCTGGTTAAAATGGGTACAAAAGACTATTTGGGGGACCTTCTGCTGGACATCATTCTTGTAAAGGGAGTAATGTCCTACGCATGTTTTTCAGACTTCCATTGTTTCTGCTTCATCAACCGTTTTTCACGGTTCCAATTCTTAAAGTTCATAGCCGCAAGGTGTTTCAACTAGGAATCGGGCTTCTTGTTGGCATTCAGAGGGGCCTGTCAAAAGGACACCCTGCAACGCCCCCAAACTTGCGCCGGTTCCAGCCAGATTCCGACGCATCCGGGGCCCGCAGGTCTCACTTCATCAAGCGGTTCAAGCGGCCCGGCTTCAAGGTGGTCGCGCAGGCCGGAGGGGCCGGAGCGCACGTTTCGACGTTTCAACGGGGGCTCGTCGGACTCGAGGGACGGGGGTTGCCATGTTCAAAGGACCAGGTCCTTTACTGGCGGGTGAAGTGTTGGATGGTCATCCACCTGGTAAGGATCCGAAATCACCATACTGATTAAGGGAACCATGATCCAATCGGCCATAGGTGCTCTGACCATGGCACAGGGATCCGCAAATTTTGAGAAACTCCCGCTTGCCTGGGGGGATTCCACCAATGCCGGGCCCCAGCGGGACAACCCAATTTCTTGCGGGTTGATTGAAACAGAGCTTGCTTTTCAGATCCATCGCTTCCGTTCAAAGGGGCTGGCCTTCATTTGTTGGAAGCCCTTCAACTTTCCACCAAAACAGGAATCTCAGTTGGACCAACTCACTTTGGTACATGGGGTTGACAAAACTCCAGGGCCAGATGTTTTTGCCGTAGAAACCCTCCAAGAGAAGGACCCTGTGCATTTGCGGGAAGTTTGCAAGGCAACACCCTCCCAAAGCAACCTCCGGCTGAGGTGGGTATGGGTCAAAATTGACCCACCAGGGGACCGCAGGTTTTAGTCCATGTTTCCATTTATAACCAGGGTTCCATTTTGGGTACCTATTTTTGACCCACAGCCAGGTGATGATGGGGGAGCCCCCGGCCGAGTTCAAGGCTGCAGTGCACAAGACTCATTTGCCCGGGCCGCAAGTGGGCCGGTTCTTCTCAGGTTCGGGGAGTGGGGGGCAAGCAAAGCTCATTGCAGGGATCTCGGAAAACACATGCTAGGGTTTTTTCTTTTGAGGCGGGTATCCTCTTTTGATGGAAGGCAAGGCGCTTTTTGGTGGGTTCTTTTCCTCAGATTGGCCGAGTGATTCTCAGAGATTGGGGGGCAGTAGCCTGTTTTACACGTTGCTTTTTTGTGTTTGCAAGGATGTTTCATTGTTGTTCGCCCACCAGCAGGTTACGTTTATGACCCTGCTTGCGGCCGTGTCCTTCTCACACTGGAAGTGGCAGGCCAGAGGCGGACGCCCTGACGTCCGAGTTCCCGCGAAGACGCCGGGAAGACTCGCTGGGCCGAGCTCTGATAGTGGCATTCTGTGGAGGAGCTGGTTGACCTCAAGCATGTTGCGCTTGGACGCCAGTCGCGCAAAGAGACGACGCGAGTAGGGAAAGGAGAGGGCGCCGGAATTTCGCCGGAATCGCGGTACCAGGGCGTTGCGGTTGGAGGTGGTGCGCTTGTGCACTTTCGTGGGAGGGTTAGGACAGCAGGAAAAGAGTGTCCTCCCCAAGTCTCCCAGTCTTAGCTGGGGTCCCTTGAAACTGAACCAAGGGGAAAAGGCAACTCCGCTTTCCTTTTCCCTTTGGTGGGTTTGGGTTTCCGGTTGAACCATTTTTTTTGAACGGACGTCCTCCTGTATCGGTGGTTTCCCTCTGTTGGTTCAGGTCTTCATGGTTGTTGTTGGGAAACATCTTACATTTTCGCTTATTGTGATTTAGCGGTTGAAATCCAACCACCGAACTCAAATGAAAGGTTTGCTCCCCTTCCAACGTCAACCAAGTCTTTCACCCCGAGGGAAGAGAAGCAGAAGAAGCTGGACGAGGAGTGGGAGCAGCGCAAGGCGAGGCTGATATGGCTCGGATTTCTTGGTTCCCCGCCATGCGGTGCCTTAGGCTTTTCGTCGGTTTTAGTTGGTTTAGCGGTAGAAAAGTTTCATTTAGCCCACACAAGTTGGACTTTTAGCAGGGGATCTGAGGAGAGCGCAGATTTGCTGGTGGTCCGTTTGGGAGAGACGAGAGGGGGGGACGCGGCCAACATTTGCCAAAAGAAGATGAAGATGAAGGGCTTGCTTAATTCGCTTTTTGCCCTGGAAGAAAAAATTACCACGCTTCTGCAGCCCTTGGGTTTCTTGGCATTGCTTGCACCGCAAAGCTGTATGGTTCGTGGAAGACCGTTTTCCGCTTCTAATTGTTGGCCACAGACATTTGCTAGGTTTCAAACTGTGGCGACTTGGTGGGGGCCCATAGGCCTAGAGACCTTGAAACATCTGGTTCTTCGAGATCTACCCACAAAGAAAAGATCGGCATTTGGAGTCGTGTTTTCAGAGCCCAAGTTGAGGCGGAGAAGGAGAGAGAGCGAGCTGCAGAGGAGGCTTCCAGGGCGGCATTTGGGGGGGGAGCATGGTGAAGTCTTGCGTATGCACTCAGAGAGGGGCGTGTCTGTTTTGCGTTGGTTCCGTTGGTGCTCTGCTTGAAGTGGCTTTGCAGGGAGTTTCTGAGGGTATTCTGCTTGAGGTGGTTTTGAAGGGAATTTAAGTGGACACCACGGGATTTCAAAGAAACACGCTTTCTTGTTCTGGTGGCCAGGCGTTTCCAGTCCAACAGGACTCCGAAAGAAGTCGAAGGTGAGGTCCTTGTGGATGAGTTGATTTGAAAGGTACCCTCTCATGGTTGTTGTTAAAACACATTTTGCATTGCTGCTTATTGTCTTATTGTGGTTTAGCGGTTGAAATCCAACCCCTGAACTGCTAAGACTTAACTTTGTTGCTCTCCTTCCAGCGTCAGCTCCACCTGGGCCGCTTGGAGCCGAATCCCCGCGCCAGGCGCGGCGCCAGGCGGACGCGGACGCGGACGCCCGCGCCAAGGCGGAGGCCACCGCTGCGGCGGAGGCGCCGAGCGAAGCCGATGGAAGCCGGTGGAAGATCGGAAGGGTTTGGTCCGGGTCATGTTGACTCCGCATAGAAAACCCAAAAAAAACCGGTGGAAGTTCATACGGGGCTGGTTTTGGGCCCTCCAAAAGTGGTCCGAAGCCCCACGAAACCCAGGAACAACTATGAAGAAACTGGGGTTGACAAATGTTGGGTGAACATGCCATGGAGCATAGACCAAGGAGTGACTTCCAGCTGGGGTGTTCTTGGCCAACTAAGCAATTTGTATCGGCAACCCTTCGGATACAGCCCATTCGTGGGGCGAACCTTGTTCTTAGGGGGTTATATGCCATGTAGCATGGCTGAAAGCTCCTTACCCTCCCAAAACAGGACAAAAAACAACAGAATGGGTATGTGGGCACCATGTCCATATCCTGATGGATAGAAATTAATGCCATTTGCAGACCAATTCGGGTCAAAACCCCTTGACACGCTACTTCCCTCCAAAGACTTAAAGGATCAGGATGGGTTCTGCGGTGTGAAACACAAATGGGTCTGGATCAAAAGCAGTCACCAGCAAGGATCCTCTTTGACAAGCAATTTGCAGAGGTTTGACTCCTCCCTGGATCATCATGCCCCTCCTCAAACTTCAAAATTCGGGTCCCTCAAAGCCCCATGATGGGCAGTTTGTTGGCTTTCAGGTTGCCATTACTCTGTGAGCTCGGGGAATCCCCAACGACGAACTGTGTTTGCATCTCCAAGAAGCGACCTGTTTTTGTTTCACGCTTTTAATCAAACACCATGGCAAAAAAAGAAAGACTTTACACAAGGGCACATGGGTGGCTCGTCTTTTGATGAGGGACCCAAATCCAAAATGGTGAATTTTAAAGGGAAACCAGGAAACCCGAAGCCATTTTGCGGGTACCCCGATTGTAAGACACACCCGCCATGTGTAAAGTCAGGAACCAACAGCCCGAGCCGTTCGAACACTTGAAGGACTTGATGATGATGATGATGATGATGATGATGATGATGATGATGATGATGATGATGATGATCTTTCTCAAGGGTGCCTTAGTTCCCTTCTGTTCGATCGGAGAGTACGCTGGCATTGGGCCACTTGGGTCGCCTTCCACTTGGAGGTGAGGATAGCGGCCAGATCGGGGATCAACAAGAGGCGGCAGAGGTCAGCACATCATCATGGGGGCTGGGGGGGGAAGGGGAGGGAGGAGGGAGCCCAACTAAGCCCTTATTAAGCCCTTAATAAGGCCTGGTTTAGGGCTTGTTTGGGCTCCCTCCCCCTCCCCTCCCTCCTTTACCATACACCAAGACCACCAGTTTGGGTGATCCTCCAAAGTGGGTAGAGGCGGTCTGTTGGATTGGCCCCGGTGTGGCCACCTTTACTAGGTCTCCCAGTAGTGCCCTTGTACCGTTTCTTTTTTGGAGGGAGGGCTCCCCTACTCAAATAGACTACAGAAGAAAAAGTTGGTACCCTTATTCCAACCTCTCAAATGTGGAGGACCTAGTGTAGGAACCCTGTTTCTCCACCCTGGGCACTCCGGGCACCCCATCCGGGTCTCCGCTTTTGATTTCCCTCCAAAGCCGCTTTCGCAGGCGGTGCGGGCGCAGCTCATGGCGCAGGCGGTCGACGTTTGAGAAAGCGGCCGGGTTTTGGGGAACACCCCCCAAATTTATAAACTGGGGTTGATGAATATGGGGTCAAAATTACCCCAGGGACTTAAACCCAGTGAGGTTTCATTTGTTTTGACACACAAGGCATGGCATAGCTTCCTATACCCTCTTTGGCTTACGTGGCTTAGTCAGCTTCTGGCTGACCTTGCCTCTGACAAACTTAACTGCTTCGCATAGAAGGATACTAAGGCCCAAAACTTATGCTGGTGCGAGAGATGCAGGGAATGAGGAATGGAATGACCCCAAAATCAGCCATCCAACTGGTGGTTTCCTTTAAGGAGACCCCTGGGTTCATTTGTGCCATGGTCAACAGACTGGTTCCTTTACTTGGGGTAAAAATAGGGATGGTCATCCACCTGTACGGATCCTGAACAACAATGATAATGATTCCAATTAAATTGGGCCCAGAACCCAAGCACAACTAGCCTCCCACCAGCCTGGTTTGGACCAGCTTCCTTTTTAAAGGGACCGGGTTCCTGTCAGGTTCCATGTGCAAAGGGGTGGGAGGGAAATATGGGTGCTTTTTTCCGAGGGTACTCTTTGTGGCCTTGTTGGGGTTGGTCCAAAGAGAAACCAATTGGAAACCAGCTATTTTAGTGTTCCCTACTTTGACACATACCTATGTACCGACTGATTTGTTTTTACGGATCGCACATGAGCAGGAATTGGGTATCTGTTTTGCCACAAATCAACGGCTCGCTATTTCAATGGGAGATTTCCGTGCACCAGGTAAGGCCTAGAAAAAACACTGTATAACCGTGTTAGGAGAACCACCAGCATTGGGTTGCGGGTGCTGCTCATGTGGGTTGGTTGATAAAGGGAAACACAAGGAAAACCATCCATTTGGTCTGACCTCAGGGTAAAGCGAGCGAAAACCATGAAGGTCCTTTGTGCTCGGGGGATTCAATTCTTATTTCAGGTTTGTGAACTTTGCAGATGGGGTCGGAAAGGGTGGGCCGGATATTCCATAGCTTCACTGTTCTTCACTGCTTTACTCGCGAATTCAGAGGTTCACGGTCCCAAACTGAGGACGTTTCTTGCATTGCTCTCTGCGAATTGGGAGGCCAAAGAAGAAAACTGCCCATTCGGCCGACAGCTTCACCTTCAGCTGTGCCCGGTTCCTATGGTTGAATTCCCCCCGCCCCCCCCCCCGCAAGGGGCCCATGGACCCCAGAAAAAAGAAAAAGATGCAGGTTTCGCCTCTATTGCAACTCTTTGTGTGGGCCCGGACAACTTCGTGGGATTTGGGCGGTTTTTCAAGGCTCCAATTGAACACCTCATTTCCCAACTTCCTGGACATTTTACTTTTTGGGAAGGCCATTTCAGTGGCCAACAAAGACTTCTTTTTTTGTTTCTCGGACCATCCACTCGGGAAGTGAGAAACCAAGAGTTCTATTTTTTTGGGGGGGCTGTTTATCTAAGGGTGGAAGTATATAAGGGGTATATTTTCCTTTTGGGGAGAGGATATGGTATGAACATCAGCAGGCCTTTTGGGTTCATTTGTCCAAGGGGTATGTAAAAGGGCTATGTATCTTGGCACCCCTGGAGTTTAGGACCGTTTGGTGCGGATACATATACATAGATAGACTAAATAAGTAAATACATAAATAAATAAATCAAATACATAAATAAATTAAATACATAAATACATAAATACATAAATACATAACTACATAAATGATTATATGTATATATATATATATACTTATTTGGGGGGTGGGGTAGCTGTTTAGTTCGGGGGGGGGGGGTTGGGGAGCTGGGATCCGGTGGTTTTTTCCCCAAAAGCATCTCTGATGCTTGGGTTCTGCTTTAGGTTTTCTCTGAAGGTGCCTGGGAGCGATACAAGCTGTGACGACGGAGATAAGAAGCGATTTCCATTTCGTTGTGCTGCAGACCGGGCGTGCGATGCCGGCTGGGGGTGCAGACCGGGCGTACGAGGCTGGCTGGGGGGACGGCGGTGTGGGGCTGGCTGGGGGGACGGCGGTGTGGTGCAGACTGGGTGCGCGAGGCTGGCTGGAAACTGCCCGCGAGCGAGACTGGCGCGGTGGACGCTCGTGACATGCGGAAACCGCCCGCGAGCGAGACTGGCGCGGTGGACGCTCGTGACATGCGGAAACCGCCCGCGAGCGAGACTGGCGCGGTGGACGCTCGTGACATGCGGAAACCGCCCGCGAGCGAGACTGGCGCGGTGGACGCTCGTGACATGCGGAAACCGCCCGCGAGCGAGACTGGCGCGGTGGACGCTCGTGACATGCGGAAACCGCCCGCGAGCGAGACTGGCGCGGTGGACGCTCGTGACATGCGGAAACCGCCCGCGAGCGAGACTGGCGCGGTGGACGCTCGTGACATGCGGAAACCGCCCGCGAGCGAGACTGGCGCGGTGGACGCTCGTGACATGCGGAAACCGCCCGCGAGCGAGACTGGCGCGGTGGACGCTCGTGACATGCGGAAACCGCCCGCGAGCGAGACTGGCGCGGTGGACGCTCGTGACATGCGGAAACCGCCCGCGAGCGAGACTGGCGCGGTGGACGCTCGTGACATGCGGAAACCGCCCGCGAGCGAGACTGGCGCGGTGGACGCTCGTGACAGGCGGAAACCGCCCGCGAGCGAGACTGGCGCGGTGGACGCTCGTGACATGCGGAAACCGCCCGCGAGCGAGACTGGCGCGGTGGACGCTCGTGACACGCGGAAACCGCCCGCGAGCGAGACTGGCGCGGTGGACGCTCGTGACAGGCGGAAACCGCCTGCGAGCGAGACTGGCGCGGTGGACGCTCGTGACATGCGGAAACCGCCCGCGAGCGAGACTGGCGCGGTGGACGCTCGTGACATGCGGAAACCGCCCGCGAGCGAGACTGGCGCGGGGGACGCTCGTGACATGCGGAAACCGCCCGCGAGCGAGACTGGCGCGGGGGACGCTCGTGACATGCGGAAACCGCCCGCGAGCGAGACTGGCGCGGTGGACGCTCGTGACATGCGGAAACCGCCCGCGAGCGAGACTGGCGCGGTGGACGCTCGTGACATGCGGAAACCGCCCGCGAGCGAGACTGGCGCGGTGGACGCTCGTGACATGCGGAAACCGCCCGCGAGCGAGACTGGCGCGGTGGACGCTCGTGACATGCGGAAACCGCCCGCGAGCGAGACTGGCGCGGTGGACGCTCGTGACATGCGGAAACCGCCCGCGAGCGAGACTGGCGCGGTGGACGCTCGTGACATGCGGAAACCGCCCGCGAGCGAGACTGGCGCGGTGGACGCTCGTGACATTCGGAAACCGCTTGCGAGCGAGACTGGCGCGGTGGACGCTCGTGACATGCGATGCGGAAACCGCCCGCGAGCGAGACTGGCGCGGTGGACGCTCGTGACATGCGGAAGCCGCCCGACATGCGGAACCCGCCTGCGAGCGAGACTGGCGCGTTGGACGCTCGTGACATGCGGAAACCGCCCGCGAGCGAGACTGGCGCGGTGGACGCTCGTAAGTTCTGTTCGTGGGATTTGGCCTTAAAATATTTAGATTTGTCCTATTTTTTGTGTTTTCATGTGTTCTGTGTGCATGGTTTTTGTGTGTGTGTGTGCATGCAAAAAGTGCATGTTGTTGCAAGTGTTGGACACAAGAACTCAGTTTGGGACAGCATGTGGGGCGAGGCCCTGAAAGCAACTGAGGCGGCTAGCCGCCATGCATGGCAAGGAAACTGTGGAACACAACACACAGTTAAAGTTCTCAGAAGGCGGCTAGCCGCCCTTCATGGCCATACACCCTGGCAGGCAGCAAAGGACCTTCAGGGGGCAAGGGCCTTAAGGGGGCAAGGACCTTAAGGGGGCGACATGCAGACTCTTTTTTCCACACCTCAAAGCGACATGTATGCATGCATGACCTCTGCGGCTAGCCGCTGCTTGGTCATAGTGCCTTCGGCACATGACCTGCACCCCCTGCAAAGGTGCGACCACCTGCCAGCATTCTGCTCCAGGTGGTTCACCCTCACACGCGCGCCCAGCCGGGCCAGCACATGGGCAAAAAGCCACAAGACCGCAACTGAACGGTGGCGTCCTGCTCTGCAGAAGATGCCTAGTCTGGCCTCTTTCTGGGCAGAAGGCAGCTGAGCCACCCAGGCTTTGACCTCGCCGAGCAGCACAAGCAACGCCGCATGCGCAAAGACACGGGCAAGGGTCACATCGTGATAGCCAGGGTGGAAGCCAAGGTCATCACCATCTTCAGTGTGGCGGTTCCAAGCTCGATCTGGGTCGTCAATGCGAAGGCACGAAATGGTGAGATCCAACTCATCAGGGCACGCGTTCACTCCTCGGAGGCCCCAGCTGGCCAAGAAGATGGTCTTGCCCTCCAAGGGCAGAGGCGTGACACAAGCAGCTCCTGCAGCAAAAGGCCACAAGAGAAAAAAAGAACAGAGGGCCAACCACAGTATCCAAAAAACAAGCTGACAGTTTGGCCAAAAAAGCTGCCTTCGCCACGTGTTCGGCAGGGAACAGCGCCAGTGCCTCAAGCTAAACAGCTGCCAACTGCCAACCATTTCCACTGAAACACCAACACAAAACAAGATGGCTAGCCATCAACAACACTGCAAAGTTCATGCCATGAAAGCTCAAGCTGCTTCGTCGCCAAGGCGGCGACCTGCTCCGGCTAGCCGGGGCTGCAGGTGCTTTTGCGGAAGCCTTTGTGGTCACTGAAGGCCTTGACTCAGCTTCAGGTGGCGGCATCGCTGCTGGACCTAGCAATTTGGGAGCAAGGTGGACCAACTAACTTTGTTCCCACAAACAAAATGGTCAAAGCCCAAAAAACAAGCACTTGCCAGAGCAGTGCCAGGGAGCCTGCCACTGCGCTGACACAAGTCCCAGTGATTATCTCCAGGACACACCGCCGTGCCAGTTGCACCTGCACGTTGTTCTGGCCTGTGATGCGAAGCACTCGCGGCCCATTGTTCCTGGAGCGAACGCTGACC